GGAGTTCGGGTTTCTCTTTTGACCACTTTTTTAATTTCGTATAGCAGTCCACTGTGCCAGACTTTGTCAAATGCCTGGGAAATGTCTAAGAAGACAGGGCAACAGTATGATTTGTTTTCCAGGGCTTTGCCGATTACGTCACCCAGACGCTGCACTTGGTCGAGAGTATTCTTCATTCTTCCTGCTCTTAAAATCCTATCTAGAAAATAGATGTTATGGAGTGAAGATAAATTCCGACACATCTAACATGTACGTAATTATGTCTGGAGTACCCTAGGGTAGCATTTTGGGACCGGCTTTTTATTTGATATACACAGTCGATTTACCTGTTCATGCATCTACTACCACAGCGACATATGCAGATGATACCGCGATCCTTTTAACATATGAAAATCAAGACTAAGCATCCGAGAGCCCCCAACAACACCTGAACCTTATTGAAATATGGCTAAGACGTTATAAATTGAAGTCGGATGGAAATTGTAACTATTAATGATTTGTTTCTAAGTATTGAGCCAATTAACGACGAAGAAATTAATTTAGACTCTAAATATGTTACTTCACAAATTAAGAAAATAAGTCTTAGTCAACAAATTCTGCTGATCCTAAATTAGAAATTATTAAATCGATACTTCGAACTTCACATTTAATGAATTCTGTTTTACTGGAATACGAAGCTGTTGCCCGCAACTTCGTCAGCGTAGAATAATGACATCTGGCAGAATTCAGGCTTTTGAATTAGTCTCTACCAGGGGATACTCTACGGGAACAAATCTTGTCAAAATTGATTCAGTACCTAGGTTATATTTATTGCGTAATGAATATTTTCGGGGGTGTGACCCGTACAGTTTGTACAGTGCTCGCCTCGTGTGGTTCCAGTGATTAAAAAAACTATTCTGTCTCCTTTCCCGAGTTGCAAATCGTTATTGTTCCTAATTTTCGGGATTAAAACACCTAGGCGTCCTTTCCCAGATCTCAAACTATCGTTTTGAATTTAATTGAAATGTATACTTTGGTTTAAGAGATAGGGAGAGTCTAAGGACTTTAACACATATCCTAGTTGCCGTGAGATTTTCAGGATAAAAACTGGATTTCCATTATACTCTGGTACTAATAAAATGGCCTGGTTTGTAATGACACGACGTTACTATTGCACATTTTAAATGCGTAATAGTTATTGTGGCGTAACAGTTACATACAATATCGTGTACTTATACGTTGATATAATGTCCTTTATTTGTGGATAGTACATCACTTGGCTCTTTTGTCCATAATTTCACAACGTGAGCAATATTAGAAGATTTTTTTGGTAGGTTTTCACACGTCGGACAAGGACATTGAAAAATTCACGCCCTTGACATCGGGTTAACATTATCTAAAGGAGATCGGCAAACTTCCATAGTTTTGGCCTCGACGGACTAGAATGAAATACTTTATAAATGAAGAATAAATGTGTTTTCAAGGACTAATATTAGTATTCAGCTCTGTGTAATTAGTTTTTAATACTACTTGTGATATGAAAAAATACAAGTGCATTTCTGTCTCTAGACTCAACCTCTTTGCTTAACTTAATGTTAACATGATAAAAAAAATTGTCAATAATCTATTGACTTGTAAAGTTACTAGTCAATAAAATGTTAGATAACATAGAAATCTTTATTAATAATATTAATTTGTTGTTTGTTTGTTTTTCCGCATTTCACGGCAGAACGGAGCTAGAAATTGAATTGATTTTTTTGAGTTGGTATGGTTAGTAGCATGGGCTACTTTTTATCTCTTTCTAACCCTCCAATTCCTTAAAATGGGGGTGTAAGTTTGTATGGGACATTTCGGAACATTCAAGGTATAAAGCTAATGATTGCTATTTGTAACCAGTAAAAAATCACCATTTTTTTTTTATAAACTTGTCTCTAACTTTTTGATAGAGCTCGAGCGAAGCCTGGGGCAGATGGTAGTCCATGAATAAAGTACCTACTCAAATTCAATTACCTTGAATTCGTTTATTTTTCTTCAAAATTGTATTTAAAAGCGTAGTTTTTTATTAGTAAAGCTAGATAATGATAATAGCACGGCTTACTGAAAAACAATTACCGATACCGTTTTCTAGGTCCTCGAATTTCATATAGAAATGTCGACTACCGTGTGCCAACTCAAATGGCTATTTTTTTTTTTTTGGCATAAGCCGGTAATCGATCAGACGGATCACCTGATGGTAAGCAATCGGCGTCGCCCATTTATACCTGGAACACCAGAGGTGTTACGAGTTCGTTACCGGCCTTTTGGGGATTAGAAATTTAAGGATCGTTGGGGATTCAGGAATTGGGGAGATTGGGGAGGGTAATTGTCCTTCGGTAACCTCACTCACACGACGAAACACAACGCAAGCGTTGCTTCACGTCGGATTTCTATGAGGCCGTGGCATCACTCCGGTCGAGCCGGCCCATTCGTGCCACGTATCTTTCATACTTTCTAGTTTCTATCTACATCAAGTTTCTGTCTAGTTTGTACATACATATCATAAAATGCATTATTTGCACAATCTCTGGAATCATGCAAATATCTAACACAATAACAATATCGCCATTGATGATAATAGGTTGGACCAAGTATCGAGCCTTGAGGAATACTTTATGAAATGACTTACTAGATGAGTAAATTTATCACTAATGGAACTCGATAGCTCTATAAAAAAACGTTTCCTGGTGAATGTTCTCACATGTGAAGGACGAGTCCTTTACATGCAGTATTTATGAAATAAACTATGTCTTATAATGTCTTTGTCTTTACTTTTTTCATAGAACACCAGTAATAATCCAATGATTCAATGCACTAATATTTTATTACTTTAAATAGATATAAAAATTGCAATACTACGTCATAATTACTTCTGTACTACTCGTCCTATTGCACCACCATCTGGCAATGAACTATACAGTTATGAATGAACTATTGTTAAGCAAATATATTTTATTAACGTTGGTAGTTACTTATCTCATCATTATCATCATCAACAGCCTATAAATGCCCACTGGGTTGATACTCAACAAATGGACAAGGGGTCTCGCGTTCGATTCCCGAGTCGGGCAAAGTATTACTGGGTTTTTAAAGAAAAAATCTCAGTAGTAGCACGAACTCTGGAAATTTGCCCGGTATATGGCAATAGGCTCACCACCTATTACATGGGACTCATAACTTAAATAGTGAAAAGTGGGTGTTACTTTTGTGTGCACCTCTGCCTAACCCTTCGGGGATAAAAGACGTCATGTTATGTATGTATGTATAAACACAGGTTTCCTCACGATTGTGAGTACTGTCTGAATAATCTTAGAAAGCACAATATACTCGGAAAAACTTATCTACTACAAAAAATTAAACAAACTCAAACGTAATTCAATTATAGGTTACTTAATTAAACACCCATTTCGTTTAAACTTTACCTTTGAACTCGTAAATAACTCTCGAGAAGTTTCATAACAATTAAAACTCTTAAAAGTAGAAACGAAAGCAATTAAAGTGATACACGCTGTGAAAGAAATTAAAAGAAAATTAAAGTCAAAGGAAATAAACAAATGATCTGATACTTACCACAAAGGAGTTCCACGTATCATGGTATATATAAACTCTATTTTATCTGCGTTTTTGTTTATACGGGAAGTTTGTTAGAATTCATTAATGTATAATAGGTAACAATAATACAATTTGAACGTAGTCACTAAATGATTGCAAGTCAATAGTACTTTCATCTAATTCAAATTGTTGGTTATTTTTTTATTATATTAGCACAATTGTCAATAGTTATCAGTTCCTAAATACGTGAGTAACGGAGCGTGAAATTATATTGACAATAGTTTTTTTGCTTAAGGAAGAGAGTCGGTAAGTAAAAAACATGATTGAAAAAAGCACTTCCTCTTTTTTTGAAGTCAGTAAAAAGTAAATAGAAATGTTTTCCTTGAACATCTTTAACATTTTTACCAAAGTACACAATGTGATTGTATTTTTTTTTTTTTGTATAAATGTATATATATTTTGAGGAGATCCCCACACATGCAATAGGTTTTCTATTCTATATATCTATGTTTATACATCACGCAAAACATCATCCTACTTATCATAGAAATCACAGAAACCTTATTGTGCGTGGAACAGAAGCCAATCGTAATACCACTTCGGCCAAATATGTGTTATGTAACAAAATAAGCAAAGTAAAGTCTTGTCAAGGAGTTACATCTCCCGGGTATAAGATAACAGATGTAAATAGTACAAGGAACAAGTTGGAAACTTTGAAACTAAATCTGTACTCTAAGGAAGTATGGTGAACATCAATCCAGGCTGTATTACCAAAATTCACTTGAATAGGCCGATTAATGGCGCTACAGCGGCATATAGTTTCCCCGGGGAATGTGAGTAACGATGCCGCGCCAATCCCGGCTAATAGTTTAATAACACTATCCATGAAACTTCACGAAGATTACCCTTCGATTTTATGGTAAGATGAGATCAAAATTTCAAGGATCAAAGGAAGTTTTTATGTAGTGTTTATTTATGGGTTATTTTGGAAGCGTTATGGGGGATTCTTTCCTTTATTGTATTGTGTAGTTGGCAGTAAAAGTAAGTGTTTCGTGAGGGAACATTGGTTTATGGAGCTTGGGGAATGGCTTGATATAGGCGGTTAGGTCTTATACAGTTTATGTAGGTACCTATTGCATTATGCGATAATATTATTTTTCCTTTTATTTTCTGTAAGAACGTGACTGAAGTAGAGGAATCTGGATTATTTTGCATACCGTTACATTTTTTTTAATTTAATTACAAATCTATCAAATAGGGAACTTATGGAGAGCTTCGCACAAATATTTTGTCCTTACTGCGATAGTGAAATTTTATAAGAGTTTTTTTATAAACCTATATAGTTTTCCCATTTAGAGACCTTGTTCCGAGAGTGATGCACATAACAAACAAGAATTGCCCAATACGGCGCGGCCGTCCTGCAGATACGCACGTAAAAACATTTAAGCGATTAGTTATTTTTTAATTAAATTTATGCAGTCGAACCAGTGGAAATAATATACCTAGTATCAGAATGAACCGGTTCTTGTGAGAGATAGACGTAACTTTGTGTCACGTTTATTAAATCCACGGCTGTTAATCCTTATAATGTTAAAAAGACAAAAACGTTGATTCCTAATTAACATTTTTGAAAACCGAAAGATTCAGTGAGTATTAAGTTAATTATCATTTCGGAAATAGAATAACGAAGAGGGGTGTTGTAAAAAATGTGTGCTTTCCTTGTGTGTAGAGAGTAAATTGATGTTATTTTTATTTTATGGAAAAATAGTACATGAAATTGTATTGGCCTTGAGTGTTAAGTAGAAATCCACTGTTTATTTGATATATCTTTTTCGACAGAACCTAGAAGGTGTGTGTTAAGAAGTAATCAAGTGCATTGCTGCGAGCTACTATACAATATTTTATCATATTACTGTGGATAATTAAAAATAAACAAGGTTATATATTAGATTGATTACGTGAACGACTGTACCCTCTACTTACATCCCATGTATGACGCAGTGTCCTCAGCTCTAGCATAGTAAATAATTAACTTTAATTTCTAGTCAATAGTACGTTGTTCGTTGCACTCCATAACCCAACAGAGCCTCTATAGCTGTGTTGTTCTAAATTTATTTAAACAATAAAAATGATTTTTCTATAAACATGTAATATTAAATATTCAAATGTCTATTTGTGTTGCTTAATCAGTCTTGCAGCACTCTAGACTAGGGCTGTCCAATAACTTTTTAGACGAAATTTTTTTCACATGGCCAGCGACACACCTTTTAATCTCAACATCTTCATCTTATGTGCAACAACAATAATCAAATTCAGTGTATGATTTGTATGCAAGTTTAGTCTGTGAGTAAAGAATACAATATTAAACGTCATTATACATCTATTTTCAAGCCCTCCGGATTTTGTAAGAAATTTAATTAGCCCGCGAGGGTATATAGTTTGGACAGCCCTGCTCTAGACTATTGATCGAAAAAAAAACATTATAACTAGACTGAACATTAAGCATACTTCTAAACTAGTTTAATACAATATTTGTCGCGACCTATGACGCATTTGGTATTTTCCATAATATTAATTTTAAATCATTTTATTTATAACAGGTTGCTCCTTAATAATTTGAGGTTTTAAGAACGTCCTGAAGTATTTTATCTTTAAGGTTCAGTTTACCCTTGAAATAGTTTCGTAATATTTAAATTATGATAACACATCTTTGTAACACGTTAGACTTTATCTCTGCTTAGAAAAGAATTAGTAAATAAAAAATGATAACTCCAGTGATACTATAGACAAAGTATAAAATCATTACATTTCTTACTCATAAAAATTCGTAATATAAAATAATCTCAATTGTTACAGATCATGCGACGGTATAACACGTATTCAATATGCTTAATATTTATGCTCAGCATCTCTGTCTTTATTATCGGCACTCAATATATCGACAATATTATTTACCTCACATCCACTGAACGTTGGAAAAGCATAAAGGTAATAATCAAAGTTGAAGATGGTGACGACTCATATGTACAAGAAATACCAATCAAGTTCTACCATACTGTTAATTATAGCGCGACAAATAAAGAAGATATACACACTATCACGAATGAAAACCAGTCCCAAGACTTGACAGTCACAAATAACGCATCCACTTTGACACACAAACAAACACATTTGGCTACAGACCTCGAAAATATATTGGATAAAGCACGATCAGACATACGACGACAGCTCTCTAACTACAACTTATCATATTCAGGTGCTCATACCTTAGAAGATTTAGTCATGGAATCTGAAGGAAGCCCGATAAGGACACTCGTTATATCATCATGGAGATCAGGATCTACATTTCTCGGTGACCTTGTGAATTCTATTCCAAGTAACTATTATCATTACGAACCCCTCCTAATGTACGGAACTAAACAAATAAGGAGTCCAAATGATGCGACTGAGGCCTTGAGCATTGTTAAGCGTATGTTCAAATGTAACTTCGAAGGTTTGGACGAGTATTTTGAATTTGAAAGTAAAGATTTGTCTCTATTCAGTCACAGTACTAGATTATGGGACTATTGTAAAGATGACAAAACCAACGACCTTTGTTTCAACGCGCAATTTATATCAAGAATGTGTAAACTTTTTCCCTTCCAAAGTATGAAGCTTGTACGGTTAAGATTACGTCTTGTCGATGAAATATTGAATGATAAAGAGTGAGTTGCTAATTACTAATACTTTACAACATTTTGGTAAAGCAGTTAATTAGTACCTGCATTTGACTCAGTGAAAATCTATAGGAATTTAAATTGTGTGTTGTAGGCTTAATGTAAAGGTGATACTGTTGATGCGTGACCCTCGTGGTCTGATGCAGTCGAGACGTCATCGGCGGTTCTGTGAGCTATCTTCGGACTGCTGGGAGCCATCACTTGTTTGTGCTGACATGGTCAGCGACTACGTTGCGGCTCGCAGCATAATGCAGCGATATCCAGGCCGGCTATTGTAAGTATTTGCAATTTCAATATTATGTACACTGTTCTGTTACAGAAATGATTCATGAATGGTGATTATTTTTTGCTTCAAACATTTTGTCATAAAAAATTATGCAGTAGATACTGATAAAAATCAGTAAACAAATGTGAATGAACCTATCGACACTCATACATACTATGACATTTTTTCCAAAAAGTATGAATCACCTTAATATATCGACAACAGAGTTTTTAAATTGCTCACATTTCAGGGTGATAAGATTCGAGGACTTAGCACTGAAACCTGATGTAACTACGCAACAAATTCTGGATTTCATGAGAGTTGATGGAAGGAAGGCATTTGACGAGTTCTTGAAGTCCCACACCAACATGGAGGTGGCTGGAGTGCACTCCACGTTCAAGGTCACCCGGAACATTCCTCTCAAATGGAAGTACACGTTGGATTACAACTACGTCGCAGATTTACAAGTTCGTTATTATTCTAATAATAAGTCCTATTTTAATAACAAGTCTATCCACTCCATGCTAATAATGAATCGTCCAAAAACCAATTCTTTAGTGAACCCCACGTGTCAAATAGTAACAGACTAAAAATAGAAAAGAGATTATCACTATAAATCATTTTTATGATTATTTAATGCAAATTTGAATGGCTCTTGTTCAAAAAATCTGTATTTTATATTGCAGATAGCCTGTAAAGAAGCCATGCGTTTATGGGGTTATAAAATGGCGTACAACGAGACACATATGATGAGCAACGAGTTCAACCCCGTGGAGGATTACAGCATCTCAAAATGAAACCACCATGCGTGGTTCAGTGAACATTTTACTCTAAAATATTACGTCAGCGTGTTTAGACGCAGAATTCTCGATATTATACTGTATGGTTTCTTGAAAAGCGGTATATTATTTGGGAACTATTTTTATCGTCATCTGCCAGTGTGTATTTATAACGCAGTTTGAATAAAAAAATAATCTTGTTTCCTTATTTCAATTTAAAATTTCAATCTTATTATCGATTTTCGAAGGCCTAACGAAGAGTTATATTTTTTATTGATTGCTACGAGGTAGGTAATTCAGGTATTGCTGTAGGTAAATCAAAAAGTGTAGTATTATACATAGGCGTAGTATTTCACTTTATTACACTCATGGCGATAATAGCATCCACAGCAGCTGTAGTTACTAATTATGAAGCCAATAATATACATTAGCGCACCTAATTGCTTCTCTGTCCCAAATCACTAGTTAAACTCAATAAACTAGATGCCATTCACATATGTAAAGGTATTTTGCATGAATGCGACATATTTTATTAATTGTAAACAAAATTGACGTATGTGTAGTATGAGGGTATTTAGTATGCGCCCTAGTTGTATGTTATCATAAATATCTTTGCATGTGTGCCCTTATTGGCCTACATGTTGTCTTGAATAACTATTATCGCAATGGCAGTTGATTAACAATCGGTCATGTAGAGGTACCCTTTGAAGGACACAAATATGTCGTTGAGCTATATCTTTGTTTGTATAATCCTTTCCTATAATGAGCAACTGGGTAACTGAGAATTCAGTCAAAACTATCAGTTGTAAATACCTGATTTTTATGTAAGTTTTAAGAAGTTTAGAGAAGTATATAAAGAAGATTTTTCGAGGTAAGTGACTACAAAACGGTCTGTATTCTAAGTCCAGTTCCGACTTTCTGAACTACTCTACTATATGCATGCCTTAAGCTCGTCTTTGTTCGATTAAAGTAACAATCTGATCTCCTGCTGCAAGTTACGTACCTATCTACTTATTCTGTGTTGCTAATTGTAATGCTTAATCTAAAATAAGTCTCAAGGTTCACTTACCTGCCACAACTATCCCTACATCTGTATCTGACCATGCAATTTCACAAGCGACTATCACGTGAAAAATGAACATGCTTAATGTAAAATCGCCGCTCTGTCGCCGGCCTTACTGGACTTTATATCGTCCACAATTTGTTGCTATTGAAATGCTAAAGCGATGTCGCAACGATTTGGCGACTGCGCTCGAATGTTAAATGGTTGTTCTACTTTATTATTTTGATAGTCAGCTCTGATGTGTGTCATTACGCTGGATGGTCTACTGAGATTTCTGTTATGTAGTTTTTGTAGAATGATTCCAACAGTTCCAAGAATTATGTATCTCTCTAATGAGAACTCCTACGTCTGAGTCAGGATTTAAAATATAAATAAATGTTTTAATGTATTCATGTGCTGCCAATTCTAAAACTGTTATCAATACATCTTTATTCTAGACGAAATTAATGTTAAGATATTTAATTTCTATATAGAAAGACCTTTGCATAATTATTTTACATCACTTTTCCTTCATATAACAAGCAAAGTTTATTGCTACATAGTCAAATACGACGAGACATAATCAGAACCCTAATCCCAGTAATCAAATCAAAACCAACCTACAGAGATTTAACAGCAGAACGAACAAATGGTAATCATGAGAACTAAGACGGTAGTGGTTTAATTGCAAGGAGTTTCTGTAGATGTAGAGTATAATTTATGAGTGTAACATACAAGAACATGGAGTAATCAAATAACTAGCATCAATAAGCGGCGTGTGTACCCGCGACGGCGGGCGGCGTGCTACTGATTAATGAATATGGAACGTTCTTGCTTCATTCGAATTCAGAATGATCTCGCCCCCCGCCCCGCACCTCTAACGACTAACCAAATTAATATTTAGTTAGATCACATTCACTTTGAACTTGTGTAATTTGATCACTAATCAGTGAAATTGTACTTTTACGTTAATTGCTAACGTGGTCTTTATTGACCAACATTATGGCAGGATTTGCCTTATTTATCGGAAGTAAAGAATAAAACTTATAAACATGTTTTTTTATTATGACATAATTATGCCTAGACTGAACTAATGTAGGTATAATATTTAGTAGAACTGAAGTAAAATCACATATCTAGTAGTATAGTCCAATACGCTATAATTTTTTTTATTGACTTCTAAGTTGCAGTGGTCTCTCCTCACCTGCCACAGGAAGCTTTGTTGTAACAACACAAATTTTGGCACCTGTTTAATAATATAACCGTTTATATTGATGGTACACAATCTTATTCAAATTGTTCACTATCTCTGTGAAGAAAATCTTAAAGAGATTATAACACATTTGCATGTTTCAAACGGATTGTATTGATTGGAGGTCTTCTAAATTTACATCTTAATATTTCACTACTAAGGCATAATTTTAAACTTTGTGCTACCATTATATCTTCCATCTCATAACCTTAATGTTCTTCTTACAACGAGGAATAGTTCATTAAAGTGAATCAACAAGTGTCGACTTCTACTACTTGTCCTTTTACCTAAGAAAATTTAACAAACTGAGTATAAGTTTCAATCGAAATACTTACAAACATATCAGTTAGATCGAAGTCATATTGAAAAACAAATGAATGACACAAAAACAATACGCAAATTAATTGCATTTCGCAAAACAAAGTTGCCATTTAAATTGTCGAGCCAAAACAATTTCTCATTTTGAAATGATATTCGAGCAAGGGCCATAAATCGAGCGTTTTCCTTATTCCGGCCGAACATTAACACAAACATTTACAAGCCTCATAGCATTTAATACGATTCTAAACAATACAGAGTGTTCCAAATTACAACGCAGACAATTTTTCTCGTAACATCTGCACAAGCAATCCGCGCTTCATCCCGTTCCGAACCTATTTTATTTACAGCAAACAATTCTTTTGATAAATCGTTTTTAATCCGAACAAAAAGCAGGATTATTCCAATTTGACGAAGAAAAAGATTTTCATAATGGAATTAGTTCATTTGGAGTCCTCGTGAGAAACGAAGGCGGACATTGGAAATCTCTCGCGATCTCGTTAGCATTGGAATATTCTATGAAGATTAAACGTTATTCAGTTTGATTTGAATGCGAACGTGCCTTTTGTCATACGATTGCACTGAATGGCACCGTCTAATGGTCGGCAAATGAGTGCTTTTGAAGCCGCCATGAATATGGAAGACTCGCTCGTGTTGCTCCTACTGCGCCAGACCCCTCGTTGTTCTTACTGCTTCGTTTATTGTTGTATATGGATTTAACCCGTCTAGTCCTCAATATTATTCAGTCAGCTATTTACATATGTTTGCGTTGCATTTAATAAAACCGAAAAATATTTTTGTTCTCACTTTATTTATTCGTCTTATTGCAAAGGTTAAATAGGACGATGTCTAACGGACAAAATTCAAACATTCACCCACCTCAAAAAAGAAATATTTTCCTAAAATGTACTCACACACGAAAGTAAACACGTTCGACGCCGGGGAATATTCTCACCACACACGAGGGTCCAATCCGCCGTGCAAATATACGGGCACAGCTTAAATAAAAGCAGTATGACAAATCTGTGGTATTGGCACGGATTACTAGTGTAATCCGTAATCAAGCGGCCGTCAATCCAGTGGACAATGTGATTTATGCATTTCTAGAGATCCATTACGTCAGTATTGATGGATGGGGTGACTAAATAGAACTGGTAGGCTGCCCTAGTTGGGTCATTTGGCTAACAAACAGAACAATCTCGTCGCTGGGAACAAACACAGTTACGGTAACTGACGATACCATTATATGTTATCTTGCTAACAAGCCTACTTAGTATAATGTCCTATGTGAATTATTATGGCCAGTTTAAATGTATTTCTCAAAATGGACTTTTCCGATTACAAACAATTCTGTAAACTTATATTACTAACAAAAAGTGGGTGTGATATCAATACACCTTCGCTAGTATGTGTTGCCATGGCATAGATTTCCAAAGAAAGTATAAATGTCAACAGGTCAGGTCGGTACATCGATGAAACTTAGCTATTAATGTCTGGAAGGTGTAACTTAGTTCCAATAACTTTCACATATCACAGAACTGAACTGATAATCCAATCAATCATACGATCCATCTTGTTCCTGTCAAATATAGTTCCAATCACTAGAGTTCCGAGTCTGATTGTTACTTGCTATCATACTCGTTATTACAGTTTCAATCAATTTGATAGTTACTGAGGTAATTTAGAATAGTGACAATAGAACCATCAATAATATCTAAACCATCACATCACCAGTTATTGACATGTCATTTCCATGCATATCGGAATGAACTATTAGATCTTTGTTTTATTTGACATCTATTTTTGTTTCCTTATCATTATTATGTTATTAACACCATCTTATTGGATTAAAATAGAACCTAAAGTTAATGAAGTCAGAAATAAGTTCAAAGTTTCGTGCGAAGCAATCACGGTCTTGCGTAGGCCCACTTGACCAAGCCAAGACTTTCGAATAAAACTCGTTAAAGTAAAGTCGTGCCAAATCTTTAGGGTTCTAATTAAGAGCTGGGAGCCACGTGTTGGATTGAAAGATTTGTAACAACATGTTGCATGTCGACCTTCCATGCTTAAAATACTTGGTTGTGATTTGAAATAATGAGCGCTTAAGTTCTTATGACTTGGCTGCTGACGGAAAACTGTTGATAGGCAAATCCTCAACTGACGTCGGTCGACATTGACCGCATTTGCAGTGAACGTGTTAATTAATTAAGTGATTCGTGTTTATTAGCAAAATTTATTTAGTTTCAGCTTAAAAATGTATTAAAGCCTTCCGTCGCTGAAAGCTGGTACCTTCTGATATTTGTACCATTTGGAATTGCATTTTATCTAGTCTTGGCTGTCCATATGTTTTATAGCTAAAGTACTTAGTAATACGAATACGATTAGATTTTTTAACAAATTGATAACGTTAGTGTAGTAATTATCTAATAATAAACCTACCACTTATTTAATGTTAAAGTTAGCAGTGGGTACTACTCTGGGAGATAATAAGCCAGTAAAGATGTTTTTATTTACATACATTTAGTCTTGACAGACAGTAGACTTCAATAAAAAAGAAATGATACACCACGTATGTACATACTTTATACAAATTGAAAATAAATATTAAAATGTTCGCTATGTTTGCTTGAGGTATCGTAGACAATGAAAATCCGAAACGACTTTTTTATTAAGACGAAATAAAGTCTGAAAAGTTTTCTATAATATACGAGTACATCAAAGCCTTTCTAACTTTTCGATTACTTATTGGGATACTTCTTCCAATATGCAATGCATTGCTCTACTGAAAAGTTCGAAAATAGTTTTCAGAAATAAGTTTTCTGCATGGTATTTGCTATTCATGTGTAGTTCTTCGCTTTTTATTTAATTCCATGCAATGAAAGTAATGAATAATTCCCTAGCTGTTCCAGTGACTGCTAGAGTGCATACATAATACGAGTATTATAAACTAATGAAATTCTTCGCAGCACAAAGAACTTGAGAGCATTGTTTTTTATACAAAGAAAGGTGTTGCAGTGAAGGAGATAAATTTTAATCAATGTTTAATTGTTGGAGTGACGCTAATCTCTG